ATACACATCTCCAATTCCAGCACTTGGAGGCAGAGGGCAGAGGCAGGCATATCTCTATGAGTTGAGGCCAGCCTGGTCTACATATTGAATTCTAGACCAGCCAGTACTACACACTGAGATCTTGTCTCAAAGAACAAACAAAAGTCTTTAAGAAATCATTATTTTTGCATGTGCATATGTGCATGTAAGTGTGTGCGTGCGTGTGCGTGTGTATATGTGTGCACACAGGCAGTGAGTGCATGAACAGCGCATGTAAGATGTAAGGACAACCTCTGGTGTTGATTCTCACCTTCCACCTTGTTTGAGACAGTTTCTGGTGGTTCCTTAGTTGCACACGTCAGGCTAGCTGGGATGAGATTCTGGAGATCCTCCTGCCTCCCACTTTGCCCTGGTAGTACTGGAATTACAGACATGCACGCTCTTGTGCTGCTTTACCTGTGTATTCAAACTCAGGTTCTCACGTTTGCACAAGCATTTTACTCACTCACCTGCCCTCTAGGACCACTGCACTTTCAGTTAGCATAAAACGGGTTCCACTGTGACAGTGTCGCGCACACACATTGATACACATGTACACATATATCTGTGTATGTGTGTGCATGTATTATTATACTTTGTTCTTACTTGTCCCCCTACTCAGTCAATCCCACTCCCTCCTCTCAAACTATCATAATGTTGTACTATTTCCTGTAATCTTTTTGGATATACAATTCTAGGTTGATAGCTATTTTCTTTCAAAACCATGTAAATGTTGTCTTCTGGCTTTTGTTGCTACTGAGACAACAGCTGTTGGCCATCTTTCAAAGGTTTTTTTTTAACTTATTGCAAGAATTTTTTTATGATGTATGTGTATAATGTGTGGACAGGATCTCTTGTAGCCTGGGCTGGCTTAAACTCAATATTCAGCTAAGTATGACCTTTGAACTTGTGACCTTTCTCCTCTATCTCAGAAGTACTGGGATTGCAGAAGAACATCCCCCAGCTTCCACTTTATTTTTATTTCTTCAACTAAAATTTTATTAAATTATTTCCCAATTCTATGTGCTCTGTGTATTTTTGGGATTCTGTTTCTTAACCATATTAAATATCTGTATGGTCTGCATGTGATCATTCTATAGCAGAAATGCCTTGAGGTCTGGCTGTTGTCTGATGACCTTGTTTTCTAGTGAATTTTGTGACTTTTTTTAAACTGTGGGTTGCTTATTTCCCTTGTACTCTTATGTGCAGAGAGGATCTGTGTTACTTGTCTTGGGCATCTAAGAAAGGACTACCATTTTAGAATCATTTTCGATACATTCCCAGCTGCAGATTCTCTAAGCATTCACTTTACATGAGTGAGGCTTCAAACTCAAGTTATCAGTACCAGTTTTCAAGAGAAACAACACTGAGAGAAGCAATATATCCCTCTCCAAAAGAAGGAGATGAACACTCCTGTCATCCTATATTGTAAGTGTAGCCCCTTTGGAGCCAGATTTGTTGGTGAGAAAGGGAAGAGACCTCAATTGGGTTTTCCATCTTCAATTGGTACCAAAATCTATTCTTTGACTTCCAAGTGCATGAGACTATAAAGCTATGAAAATTGACTCAGCACACGTACAAGTCCTCAAAACCAACACCTCCTCGGGGCCTCACTCTCTAGACCCGTGCCCACTGAGTGCATTTTACACCTGCAACACAGATCTAGATAATAAGTCTGCCCTCTGTGGGAAGATAAGGACCTACATAGTATCTTCAAGCACAGGACGATAGTAAAAGTATTCCAGGACACTGGGCTTAAACGATTAGGTAATTATTCTACATTCTTGGACACTGTTGTCTATAGCCAACCCACCAAGACAAATCCTATTAATGATTCTTCATTTAAATCTTTGACATCCTCCCCTCAACCCTTCCTTAAAGTGTTGATTCTTTAAAAAGTTAGTTGCTTTTATATAGGTAAACAGAATCCTTAATGTCCCTTTGACAACGGAATATAATAGAATCTTTACAACTATATTCCTTTATTGTGCATACACAGTTGACTCACAGAATTCTTACTGCTCAGCACTCTAATGACATAAACTACCTCTATTATAGGACCCCCACACACACACCACACATACCTTTTTATTTAAAACTTGGCAGGTTACGGTGACAAATGCCTTTAATCTCAGCACTCGGGAGGTAGAGGTGGATCTCTGTTAGTTTGAAGTTAGCCTGGCCTACAGAGTGAGTTCCAGGACAGCCAGGGCTATACAGTGAGATTATCAAGGTTTGTCCCTCTCTTTGCCCCTTGCATGAGTCACATGTATTTTTCCTAGCATGCCTTTGGTCCACAGTCTTAGTAACCAACCACACCAACTCATCACTGTTTTGTAAAGTTTTTTCCTGGAACTCCCAAAATACTGGCTCTACTTATGATTTCCTAAGTCCTCATGCACGCAGTATATATTTAAAATAGTAGTTTTAGGTTTATTTATCATAATTTATAATGTATAAGTTTATGCATGTATTGTATGCCTTGTGCCTGGAAAGGACAGAAGACAGCATCAGGGAGAGTTATGTATGGCCATGAGTCACCTTGTGGGTGTTGGGAATTGAACCCAAATCCTCTGAAAAAGCAGTAAGTGCTCTAAACTATTGACACATCTTTCTAGCCCCAGTATATATTTTAACTAATCTGACTTAATTAGATAAACTTCTTTATTGAAGAAGTTAAGCTATAAACATCTTAACTAAAATTTTGTTTTGTTTTGAGATAGGTTCTCACCATGTATCTCTGGCTGGCTTGGAACTCACCAAGATTCATGACTCCGCCTTGAGAGTGCTGGGATCAAAGGTGTGTACCACCATGCTCAGCTAGGTTTAAGGTTTGTTTGTTTTTAAAGATTTACTTTATGTAAATGAGTGTTCTATTGACTTTAGATCCTACTATAGATGGTTGTGAGCCACCACGTGGTTGCTGAGAATTGAACTCAGGACCTCTGGAAGAGTAGCCAGTGCTCTTAACTGTGGAGTCATCTCCCCAGTCCCCTTAGCTAGGTTTTTAACTTAGGTCTGACTCTGAAGTCTGTGCTTTTTCTAGTTAGATAAATCTGCCTTTCAAAATTTCATTAATATTGCTGATGTTCATTAGAAACCAGACTATAAAATCTGATGTAACAATGCTCCCTATTTAGTTGAATTATCTTAGGTTGGTTTGAATAAAATAGAATCTTAAGTGGCAATATAGTCTTTATTCACTGAAGTAAATTTTCTAGGAAATTCCCTTAAAGGAACCAGGAAAAGTTTTCCAATAAAGATAACAAGGTCTTCTGAATGTAATCGCCCAGTCTAAATCTCTACTCAAACCACCTAAAATCTGTCCTTCAGGGTAAATATGGCACCTAAAACCACAACACGTAGGGATTCATCCTACAACCACCCTAAGGCTAAGGAAAAGACATTAAAGGCCCATTTTATAATTTTTTTCTGATGTTAACAGGGAACCCTCAGGATAAATAGACTATATTATGCCAAATTTACCCAATTCACCTTAGAGCTGTTCACAGATGGTCCTATGGCTAGACTAGACTTCAGCTGGGATTTGCTTTGGGTGTATAATGCAGAACCAGCTTCCTGAATTAATCTTCTGCTGCCTTTCATTATTTCTAAATGATATGTAGGATATCAAATGGAGTTTTGAATTATGTTGATAATTTGAGCTTGTAATACAAAAATAAGAAGGAAACACATCCTATAGACTTTTGAAAAATAGTTGCTGAATTAATTCTACACCAGATAAAGAGAGGCAGGCAGGGAAGCAATCTGCTCTTATCTCTACCGTAGCACAGTGTTTATCTCTCTTACCTTTCCTGTCTTGGCCTTCATCACCACACTGCAGACTTCCTAGGGCAGTGCAGAAATCCAGACAAGAGAAGGAAGCACACTAAAGTAATGGAGGACAGGCTACAGGAGATGGACAGTTTCAGACATCATGTGGAAGAAAAGAAGGAATTGTCACAGTTAGCCACTTAGTCAAGAGAAACCCAAAATGGTCATTTCAAAGGCAGAGGTAAGAAAAACATTTAAAGAGACTCTTTACTTCTTTATAGCAGGCTTTTTTCAACAAGAACAGAGGGAAGCTGAAGTTAACTTGAAACTTGTCTTCAGAGACCAGATGTAACTTAGCCAACAGAACAAAGGGACAAAGGATAAATCAGACTCTGCAGTCTAAAAGTGTTAATGAAGAGGTATAATTACAGACTCCGAGAAAAGAAAAAATAACTAGAACTGTAACATAGAAGCCGCCAGGAATTACTGTTTCTCCCAGTACACAGATGCTAATGGGCTCCCCACTGTCCAGATAGTAATGTGACGAATGAGACGTGCATTTAAGTCTCTTAATTACACGACTGTACACTCTGAAAAGTGATACAAGTGTCACACTTCATGATGGGGTTCCAGAATACGGGCAACCAAAGGAGTTTCACACACGTGCACGAGGCAAACTGCCTCCGCAGCTCCCACGCCACCATTTGCCCACGGGGAACACAATGCTGCAAATTCATCCTGGGGGACAAGGGTTTCAGATTTGCAACATTTCCTAAAATCAGGTGTTGATGTGAAGTGCTCATCTTAGCAGTTTGATTTTCTTAGTTTACATCTCTTCTTGACACAGCAGTTCATAAAAATGGACACCAAGATGGGTCCACAGATAGAAAAGGGGCAAAAGAGGATAGAGAACCTATGAAAAATGATTTCAGAATCTTAGTACAAGTGCTTTGTTAAGAAAATATTACAGATGAAATCTTTGAATGAGAGATTTAAAGCATTTCTTTAAAACTAATACTTAATTTCAACAAACCTTAAAGTCAAAACACTTTAGAGAGTAAAAGATATTTCTTGCCAAAGCTAAAATTTCTGCTAAGTTAGAATGCAATTTGTTTAAAAATAAATAATTTTTTTTTAAATTTAAGTGATTTTGTCAGTTCTGAGAACACTGGAATAGTCTATCCAAGTTTGATAAATAAGACACATACCTCATATTCTTTTCTGCAAACTTTGGAAATATCATTCTTTGACGATGCCTAAAAGCAAACAAAAATCTTCATTAACTTACTACACATGCTATTTATTTTGTATAGGACAAAAAAGAACACAAATTAGTGTATGCTAATTGTTGGTATAATATTCTTTATTCATCAAAGAAAACCTTATACTCAAATATTTGGAAGTTTCTAGAATACAACCAATCTTACACAATGTTTTAAAACAAATAGCACCCCAGGACTTGCTCAGTATGAAGAGCTCCAGTCTAAGCTCTATGGTTTCAATCTCACATAACAACATGGTTCTTTTGTTATTTTGGAAACTACACAACTTTGAAGGAAATATAAATCAGAGGCCTTTTAAAAAGATGAATTCCACACTAGTGAATTTTCTTGTGAAGCTCTGCCAGGACACTTACATTTTGCTTTTTCTTTAACCCTTCATATTCAACATTTTATACTCTCTCGAGCCAATTTCCTCAGAAAAGTACCCCATATAATGGAGAGCGCAGCTGAAGAAGCACATAGCACACAGCAGGCAGTGAATCAGTCACTCCTCCGGTTCCTTCTCAACAGTGTATGAAGAAGGCACTACCCTCTCTATTGTCAGAAGGCTGAGCTCAGAAAAACAGCAGGTTACTCATCATAATGAAGGATGTGCTTGCAAAACAAGGCAAAGCAAATCTGCTGCCAAGCGGTTTTTCTTTTACATGTCATCAGGTTCAGTGTGGAGACCCTGTTCAAGAGTCATGGGACTGCATCCTTTATTTCGCTTCCTCCTATTCTGTCACCTAGTCCCATGCAATTTTTAGCAAACTAACTGATAAGGGTGGGGGAGGTGTGGTTGGGGAAGGGACAGGAAGAAGAATGGCTGGCAATTGCTGTATGTCCCCAAGATTTTAGTTGAAATCCTATATAACTCAACTTTGCCTCAGCGTTTGGAGGGGAGAGGCAGATAGCTAGGTCATGTGCTGCCCAAACACCACAGTGCAAGCTTAGACAGCGTTGTGTATAAGAGTGAAGGTGAGGCTAGTATGCTGGCTCACTCCGATAATCCCAGCACTCAGGCACAGAGGCAGAAGAACTGCTGTAACCTGGGACCTGTCTGATCTACACAGGAGTTACAGACCAGCCAGGGTCACACAAAACCCCTCCACAAAAACAACAAACAAGAACTTCAACAACAGAAGGGAAGGTAACACTGGCATCTCACAAAGCCCAGAGCAAGCTCCAGCTATGTTTACAGGACAGTTTAAATAACCCTTTAAACAGTTAGCATCCCAGTTAGGGCTACATCCACCACCTGGAGTAGAGAAGCAAGGAAGCCAATATTACTAAATCCGAGAAGCTCCTAAAAAACATGCAGTGAACTCAGGGGCCTACCTGAATTTGTAGCAGAGATAAGCCTATCAAAGAGAAGCCAAAGTTTACTAGAGGAGTCATGTGTTTCCAGAGCAGAGAAAAGGTAGGGACACATGTTCAGAGTAGAGCCATGATGAAATAGAGAAGGGAAGAGAAGCACAAAATAAGCCACTGCCTCTGTTTTCATCCAACAGTACCCTAGCTTTACAGGCCCACTTGGAGTTGCACTGACTCAGCATGTCCTGTGCAAAGGACAAAATGCGTTGGTCCCAATAAACTCTTCTGTGTCTGGTAGAGAGATGAAAGAAAGAAAACTGGAGCTGGAGAGATGGCTTAGTGGCTAAGAGCACTGCAGCTCTACCAAAGGACCCAGGCTCAATTCCTAGCACCCACACACTGGTTCACAACTATCCATAACTTCAGTTCCAGGGGATCTGATACCTCCTCTGGTCTCCAGATGCACAAGATACACATGTGGTACACAGGCATACATGCAGTCAAAACACCCATATACATAAATATATAAATTTAAGAAAAGACAGGAAAAGACTAAGAGAAGGTTGAATATTACACATGCAGTAGCCCCAACTGAGGCATAAGCCTAATGCTAAGTGTGCAGTTTCTGCAGGTCATTTTTCCAAAGCTGTAATGTAGACAAGGCAGCTAAAACTCAAACTGTACTCCATGGTGCTTAAGAGCCTGATTGTCAGATGTTACCTGCTTGCATGCCTGTCGACACTCCAAGCCAATAGCCAGTTCACAGCAGCCTAAGCCAACCCAGCCATCAGATTTCTTAAATACACCTGAAAAATAAAATGTTTAAATGTTTTGGTCTAAGTATCAATGAAGACAAATAGTGTACAAAACTAATGGATATTATTACAAGACAAAGTGAATGTCCATGAGGAAACTAGTTCAGACAGCAGGGCCTCAAAATGATTATGTACCTCCTCTGGTCCTAATTCCCAGTGATGTCAGTTTCCTCGGGGTACCACACTACATGACTATTAGGCCCTTTGGTTTTATCCTCTTTTGTTCGCCCTGAGCTTGGTCATTCTCGATCCTGGGTAAACAGCATGTCTGTAAGAGGACATGCAAAGTAAGGAATGCCAGGGAGAAATTTTCCTTATTTCATACTGTGAATCTCATACAAATATTCTGATACGATTTAAGCAAATAGCCAAAAAATAAGCATGTGCCTCTTTTGTGTTAAAATATTAAATATATAGAATAGCATAAAACTCATTACCTTGTTTTAAAACTGATACATAGAAAACATGCAGGATCAAATTCTATGAGCCACTCCTGGCTTTGATGGGCACACGAATCATTCAAAATGACTGAATTATTTTGGTTTAGTTTGCTCCCTGGTATTCAGACACTCTCACTCTTGAACTAGTGAACAGAATCTGCAGGGATCATAAGCTATGTGAGCTATTATTCATAATGCAGTACATTGCTATCTCCAAACACCCAGCAATCGCAGAAAACAAAATTATTCAACAAGCTCTTTTATTATTGAATCTCTATACAAGCTACTCCATTACATGGGATATGAAATTACAAAAAAATAAACAAAATATACAAGAAGCAGCCCATTGTGGAGACTGTAGTTTGGGCTGAACGGAAGTGCACTGCTCAATTTGTTTGCAATGCAAACTTCTGAGAATACTAAGAAACTCTTTCAAGCTAAGAACACAGGGCATATTCCTGTTTCCTAAGCATTGGCTTTAACCAGGGCTGGAAAATGAACTTCAATTCCAGAAGACCATGAATGTCAGGCTACAGAATTTAGACTTTATTGCAATGGAAGCAGAAATCCCTGAGTTATTCTTTCTAAAGGAGATGAGAAAGACAGAAATAATGTGCTGAAACATTAATCATAAATTTATTAGATAATAATAAATATTAATTATTACTCTATATACTCATACAATGCAATAATAAATAAATCATTTTTAAAATCCTATATACAAATCAGATTTAGGACTATGGTTCAGATTTTATGTTAATAAAATTAATTTACTTACCTGGCAAAGATGAATTCATACAACTCCAAATTTCAACCTGAAATTGTAATCACCAAAATGATTTTATGCAAATAACTAGCTTCTATACATGATAATCTCTACAGAAATTATGCACAGTTAATTGGATTATGGTTGAAACCATATAGTCATAGGGCTAACTCCATATTTAAAAAAATAAAATTAAAAGCTGGGCCAGTATAATGGTTCAGTGGGTAAGGGTGATGTTGCCAGTCTCTGGGACTCTCAGGCCCTCATGGCAGAAGGAGCAACCACCTACACACACTGTACTCTGATCTTAATGCAATTGCCATGTGTACACACATGCGCATGCATGCACACTCACGAAGTGTAAAAATGATAACTACTGCATATGCCTTTCTTGTTTTTCCATTTAAAAGCACTGGGAATGAGCCAGGCTACTCGGGTTATTTACTATAGTTACTGTTCTCAAGCACACAGTCAGAACTGTCTGATCTTCAGCACTTCCCTCTTCCGCACAGCAGAGGCCACTATATCTACAGTTCTCTCACAGAAGCTTGAGCGCTCTTGGCTTGGCCCACACACATTTCACAAAAGAAAACAGCCCAAACCCTGAAGACGTGTCAGACTTCCTGATTCAGACTTCAAGCAGTGTATCAATAACAGTGTGACAGAAAATGGAGGTTAGGAATCAGTCACGTATTTTCTTATCTCAAATTCAGCTCCCCAAATCCAAATAAACAAAGAATTTAGTTATTACAGATTTCATAAAATTAGTCAAATCACTGATAGAATTCTAAATTCTAGATAAAATGCTGCAGTGAAATTTAAAGACTGGAATACATAGATAGTTAAGACTATTGTACTCCTAGGCACTAACACAGGGATAAAAAGTGAAAGACACTAGTCTGGTTAGCAGTTCATAAGATTATTTTGGGTTTAAAATTTTATTCAGATCACACATTCAACCACTCTTGAGAAGTGTGATAAATCTAAAAGTAACGCGGCCACGGCTTCATGTATACAACGCTGTCACGGTGACGCAGGACTTACCATCGTTTCTGGGCAGTAGTCCGGGGCTCTCTGCAACAGATGTTTCAGCCGGGATTCACTCTTTGAGGAGAAAATCTATTTGACAAAAAGAAAAAAAACCCAAAAACAAAACAAAAAGACAGAAACCTTTGAGTTTCTTTCTTCTTCTTTCAAAGAACTTGAAAGAACAGTGCTCAACTTCATATGGAAAAGCAAAAAACCCAGGATAGCCAAAACAATCCTGTACAATAAAAGAACTTCTGGAGGCATCACAATCCCTGACTTCAAACTCTACTACAGAGCTACAGTACTGAAAACAGCCTGGTACTGGCATAAGAACAGACAGGAGGACCAATGGAACCGAAGAAGACCCGGATATCAGTCCACATATCTTTGAACACCTGATTTTTGACAAGGAAGCAAAAAATATCAAGTGGAAAAAAGAAAGCATATTTAACAAGCGGTGCTGGCATAACTGGATATCAACGTGTAGAAGAATGAAAATAGACCCACCCATATCTATCACCATGCACAAAACTCAAGTCCAAATGGATCAAAGACCTCAACATAAAGTCAGCCACACTGAACCTTATAGAAGAGAAAGTGGGAAGGACACTTGAACACACTGGCACAGGGATCCACTTCCTAAATATAACCCCAGCAGCACAGACACTGAGAGAAACAATAAGTGGGACCTCCTGAAACTGAAATGCTTCTGTAAAGCAAAGGAGACAAGACAAAAACGACAGCCTACAGAATGGGAAAAGATCTTCACCGACCCCATATCAGACAGAGGTTTGATCTCCAAAATATACAAAGAACTCAAGAAATTGGTCACCAAAAGATCACATAATCCAATAATTAAAAAAAAAAAAGGAGTACAGACCTAAACAGAGAACTCTCAACAGAGGAATCTAAGATGGCTGAAAAACACTTAAAGAAATGTTCAGCATTCTTAGTCATCAGAGAAATGCAAATCAAAACAACTCTGAGATTGTATCTTACACCTGAAAGAATGGCCAAGATCAAAAACACTGATGACAACTTATGCTGGAGAGGTTGTGGGGAAAAAAGGGAACACTTCTGCATTGCTGGTGGGAATGCAAGCTGGTACAATCCCTTTGGATGTCAGTGTGGTGATTTCTCAGAAAATTAGGAAACAACCTTCCTCAAGACCCAGCAATACCACGTTTGGGTATATATCCAGAGGATGCTCAATCGTGCCACGAAGACATGTGCTCAACTATGTTCATAGCAGCTTTGTTTGTTATAGCCAGAATGTGGAAACAACCTAATGCCCCTCGATTGAAGAATAGATAAGGAAAATGTGGTATATTTACACAATGGAGTACTACACCGCAGGAAAAAAATAATAACATCTTGAATTTTGCAGGCAAATGGATGGAGCTAGAAAACATTATTTTGAGTGAGGTAACCCAGACACAGAAAGACAATTATCACATGTACTCACTCATAGGTGGTTTTTAAACATAAAGCAAAGAAAGTCAGCCTACAAACCACAATCTCAGAGAACTTAGACAACAATGTGGACCTTGGGAGAGGGTTGAAGGGGAGAGAAGAGAGGCAGGGAGGGGAGCAGAGAAAAATGTAGAGCTCAATAAAGAAAAAAAAGATAATGAAGGGGAACCCCACAGAAACAGCTGACCTGAGCTTGTGGGCTCACGGACTCTGGATGGACAGCTTGGAAGCCAGCAATGGAACCAACCTAGGCCCTCTGGATCTGGGTCGTTGTGTAGCTTGGTCTTTTGTGGGGCCTCTAGCAGTGGGACCAGGACCTGTCCCTGATGCATGAGCTGGCTCTTTAGAACCTATTCCCTGTGGCGGGATGCCTTGACTAGTCTTGATGCAAGGAGGAGGAACTTGGTCCTGCCTCAACTTGATGTGCCACGTTTTGTAGATTCCCATGGGAGGCCTTACCCCTTCCAAAAGGAGGAGGAGTAGGATGGTGGGGGTAAAAGGAAGTGGGGGAAGGGAACAGGAGGAGAGGAGGGAGAAGAAACTGTGGATGTATGTAAAATAAATAAATTTAAAAAGGGGGGGCTCTGTCACACCTAACCACAATACCATGACCAACATCAGGATCCCAATACTGATAGAATACTATCAGTTTATTCCCTGGTCATACTCAAATTTCACTAATTCATCTCACTAATTTTTGTTATGAAATTTCTTTTTTATTCCAGGATCATTCATTGCATTTGTCTGTCATGTCTCCTTAGTAAATTTGATCTAGAATCATCCTTCAGCCTTTCTTTGTTGGTTAACAGTAGTCTTTTTAAGATAGCTGATAATGTCTGAAGAGTATAGGCCATTGTTTCAAGGGAACTCAGTCTGGGTCAGCCTGACTGTTTCCTTACAACTCAGGTTATGACACTATGATCCCTTTCAGTCCTTCAGGTCAGCTAATAGATTATTTGTGATGTAAATTATAAGTTGTTGCACAACAGACTTTTCCAAAAAACAAATTTAATAAATGACTTATCTGATTGTGCTTGCAATTATTATTTAGCTTACCTGTTCACATACATCACGGCACATTTGGTTATCCTTTGAATGATTACAACATACAGCACCTAGGGAGAAAAGGAAACAAGATATCTCACTGTTAAACAATGTGATTGTTCAATAGGCTGTTTTTTGTTTTCTGTTTTTGATACAGGTTCTCCTGATATGCACCATAAGTTGGCGTCCAAACTCCTCATCCTCCTGACTCAGCCTCCAAAATGCTAGTATTAGAGGCTATACCTAAGGCATGTACTATCACGTCTGGCTGTCATTACTTGTTTTAACTGGATCTTCAAGGTGCATTTATTACAACCAAGATGCTAAAATGGAGACATGGTCATTGTTCTAGAGAAACTAATAGGAAAGATTTCGCATGATAAAAGTAGCTACTATTATTGTGTACTTTCCTCCTCCTTTGTCTTTTTTTTTTTTTTTTTGGTTTGTTTTTTTTTAAGACAGGGTTTCTCTGTGTACCTTTGGTGCCTGTCCACAACTAGATCTTGTAGACCAGGCTGGCCTCAGACTCACAGAGATCCACCTGCTTCTGCCTCCCAAGTGTTGGGATTAAAGGCGTGTGCCAGCACCGCCTGGCTATCATGTACTTTCTATGCAATACATTTTCTAATAAGCTTGCTTATATATTTTTCAGTCATTAAGATTATTCTACAGACAATATTTTGTTAACTATAACACAAAGCTAAACTGGCTTTAAAATAGTGAATTTTGTTTAGGAATGTTGAATCTGAGGTTCCTACAGAATATTCCGATGGAAACTCTGGTAGAGTCCAGAGTCAAAACTTGGAGTACAGCTAAGAGCCCAGTCTGAAGATCCAAATGCACAAGTCATGAGTACAAAGCTTAAAGGGATAAGATGCTGTCCAGGTAGCTTCTACTGAAAAGTAAATACAGCAGCAGATCCTAATGAACAGCCACAGCTGAGCCACATGAAGGAAAGGAAAGGGGGCTGAAACAGAGCTGGAGAGAGGGCAGCCACTAAGCAACAAACATTACAAGGAATGTCAGGTGCCCACAGAGACAGAAGACAGATTGAAGGCTGGAAAAGAAAATGAGTTTGCTTAGAAAGCCACCTGCTGGCTGGGTATAGTGGCCTATATCTGTGAACCTAGCACTTGGGATGAAAAAGCAGGAACACTCGGAGTTCAAAGCCAGCCCCCCCCAAAAAAACAAAAAAATAAAAATAAAATAAAAAGCCACCTACTAAACATCTCAGATCATTTCTTTTTATTTATTCACTTGCTTATTTATTTTGCATGTGTGAGGTGAAGGAGAGTAGCCTACATAATGGGAAGAAAACTAAGAGGAACTGTCAACAGAAGTTCCTTGAAAAAGCCACTTTTAGTTGAATATTCTACAGACTGATTAGGACTTCCTGATTGTGGTAAACCCAATTATCTTGAGCTATCTTTAGTCCTTAGGAGCCATGTATCACCCACCTCTGTACCAGACACGCTATTCTTTTGACTATCACATAAAATCTCTGGAATGTATTAATTTAGCAGATCGTTAACCAGCTTTAACTAACTCGTAAATTAAAAGTGTAATCAAATAGCATCTGAAACCTAGAGTAGAAATCTCCCCGCTCTGCTACAACCAACTGACCTAATGTTTCCACCGACACGTTTAGTAACTATAAAAACTACCGATTCGTTACTTTCTTCTGTAGTCTCACTACAGAAGTTTTTCCACAGTGAACCATATCATCTAGGGTAATCAGGACCCATGTTCCTGGACCATGGTCGCTCACATTTAGCTCAGAACATACTATTTCTTATTCCCTTTGGAGCAGGTACATGTTCTGCTTGCCAGAGCAGCAACCAAGAAACCAAGTTAAGTAGACTGTTTCAAGATGGTGGCATGTGCTACACGCTGCTGTCAGGTGAGGTGGCATTCCTATTGGTCATACTATTTAGGGTTCTAAAAGATCCCGTTATCAGTGTGAACCAGTAAGGGTAAGCCCAGTTCAAGAAGTACACACTCCCTCTTCCCAGGATTAGGCTGTATAATGAAGAATCTGGGTGGCTTTTGTTCTAGCTCTTGAGAAGGAAGACGCTAGATCCTTGGAATTTCCTCAACAACAGGGGAGTACCTCTGTTATGATAAGAAGTAACCCAACTGCATAGTTTCAGGGTAGGGACTAGTCAGGTCTAAAAGACTAGCCTGAGACTGGAGGATTGGGATTTGAGCATTTATCAACTTGACCTCTCAGTCACTGGTGGTGGGGATGGGGAACAGAGATTGAATTCAACCATTGACCAATAATTCAGTTAATCCTACACAATGAAACCAGATAAAGTCTCTGACACAGAAGTTCAGTAACGCTTTCCTGGCTGGTGACTACATTAATGTTCTGGAGAGATTACATATATGTAAATGAACATTGATTCTGCTGGGTCTGGTGGCATTGCCTTTAATCCCAATAGGGGCATACAAGGTCAGCCTAACAGCAAGCTCCAGGCCAGCCAGGGCTGTACAGTGAGACCATTTCAAAACTAAACTACATACACACACACACACACACACACACACGCACGCACGCACGCATGCGCGCACACACACACACACACACACACAGAGACAGAGACAGAGACAGAGACGGAGAAAAAGAGACAGACTGATTCCCTGAGAAGAAGGGACAGGAAGCGCTATACTTCCTCTAGATCTGGTCCTGGTTCACATACCTTACACAGGACAGCAGTTGTACACTCAGTGTATACTCTACCCTGGAGCTACTCTCCAAAGAGTCATTTTAAGTGTACTCTTTCCCTGAGCTCTGAGCTGTTCTTTGGAACTTCTGACCCTGGGTAATGGGAAAGTAAGATCTATATCCAGATCAAAAGTATGTGAGGGGGCTGGAGAGATGGCTCTGTGGTTAAGAACGCTTGCTACTCTTCCAGAGGTCAGGGGTTCAACTCTTAGTACCTATATTAGAAGGCTCAAAACTGCCTATAATTCTAGTTCCTGGGGATCCAACACCTTCATCTAGCCTCTATAGGAACCTACATACAATTCTTGTTTATAAATGAGATAAAAAATGGTTTTAAAATTGAAAACAGGATTAGTATTGGAGGAGAAAAAAATGAACAAACAAGTGAAAAAAAAAGGAAATTTTAGGTCTTACTTAAAAGGCTTCCAAGCTCAATACTGGAAACAGTTTCTCCACAAAGCAATGGTGGGGCCTATGGTCTTACTGGACAACTGGTTTTCATGAAAGACTACTGTGGGAGAGCTTTCTCATGGGAATTCTATATGAATTCTATATATTCCTGAGACCCTCACAGTCGCGCTGCATCTCCAAAGGCTCTGTCTGCAGCCCCACTGAAGGCGAAGGCCCCTTACCTGACCTCTTGTGCTCTTCTGAAGTGCTCTGGAAACTGACACTTTCTACAGCCCTCTAACACAAAGGTCATATGAGGGCGATAATGCAACTGATTTTGAGCAAGAATAACTCAGGGTAACATATGGTCCCAATAAACATGGGCTTAACAAAAAGAAAACAATCAGGCAGACAGGAGTCTGATTTGGGCGTAGGAATTTGTAAAAAAAAAAAAAGTTCTTGAAGCAAAGGCCTATTTAAAACAGTCACAAAATATACTCTAATTAAAACTGATAGCAACTGGAGGGTTTATATAAAATAAAATACAGACACCTCCATTTTACATTTAATAATGAAAGTCAAATTTATTGTGGCGTGACTTTCAAACGAGAAGTTTCCAGAAAGAAACGGCACCTTCAGCTGACTGACCCTTCTGCAGTGCTGATCAACAGTTCACATCAGTGACAGTGGTCAGGTTGGAGCACCGCAGGTCCAGAGCCTAACTACAATTTATCTTGGGCTATCTTTAGCCCCTAAACTCCCTGTGACTTTTTGGAATGTATTAACTTAACAAAATCCTAGTTTCCACCAACCAAAAGGCTAAGAAGGCCACCATACAGTATCGCAGGCCTCCAGAAGGTACTGCTTTGCTGCAACCCACCGACTTAATGTTTCCGCCAATGTATTTGAAAGGGCCTTGATTTATGACTTTCTTTGTTCTACTACTATAAAAACTTCACCAAATTGTTACAGCATTGGAACATGGAATTTGGGGTAACCTAAATCTATGTTCCTGGGCCATGGCCACTTTCGTGTGGCTTCAGAATAAACTACTGCTTATCCTTTTTGAGGTGACAGTTGTGTTTTTGTGTTGGCACAAAGCTAAAATTAAAAAAAATTATACACACAAAAAAGAAAGAAACCACAAAATTTGGAAAATAAAGATGAAAAGGAAAAGATTTCTACTCCAATTGTCCCACCGCAATCTCTGCTGACATTCTGGCATATTTCCTTCTAGCTTTTCCAAAAGCTTTTTCTGGTACTTCTGACAAAATAGGATGAAAGAGGGCAGCCTGGAGTCCTGCAGTAATAACCCCTTTCCCTCTCGACCGAGCATTCCTCTCTAATAGTACACTTCCGCCCCAGGGAGGACTGCCACCTCCAACAGACCTGGGAGCGCTGCCCCATCACACTGCCCCTGCTGATTGGGAACAGTAGACATTACTGTATTAGTGAACACTTTTCTTACTTTTAAACAAACAAAAAAAACCTTTGTATAATCTTTAGCAGTACATCCTTTTCAAGAAATAAGCGTACACCTATATTCCCTTCATATGCTTTCACCAAGCATATGAAAAATCTGAATGCAATTCAAGTAGTAATTAAAGGACTTTATCGTCTTTAGAATAATTAAAATGGATTAACTGGGTCATCATTCAGCTATAACTGGGGTGGCAGAGGAGGAGGGGGAACAAACAATGCAGTGCTCAATGTTTTCTACAAGGCAAGCTGCTCCAGAAACACTTTGTTTCATAATTTGATTCTAATTTGCTTACTTGCTAACCCAATTTGTTGTAGTTTAAAGCTCTGCTCATTGGCATAAAACGGACCTGGACAAGGAGAGAAACGTTCAAAATAAAGCCTGATACTGACATGCGAGTAAAAGGCACAGGTTTTATCCTCATTATAGAGACACAGATGTCATCTTGCAGTCTTAGTCTCAGACCCTGATTA